AGCCTGGCCAGTTAGCTTAGTTAGAGCATGGTGTTGATAACACCAAGGTCGAAGATTTGGATCCCCATACCAGCCAGCTGCAAAAAAATATATATATATATATTGCATTGAAAACAAGTAACTTTTATTCTATGATATATTACTACAGCTATGCTTTGGTTCTCATATTGTTTGCTCCAGTTCCCACAGAAAAGGGAGCCACAGGTCTGAGTAACCTGGGAAACACATGCTTCATGAACTCAAGCATCCAGTGTGTTAGTAACACACAGGCACTGACACAGTATTTTATCTCAGGGAGACATCTTTATGAACTCAACAGGTAATCTTTCTTGAGCCATTGTCCTCTTAACCTTCTATGACTTTGATTTGAACTCAGTATCGCCTAAATCTCCTCTTTCTTTAATCTGGGGGAGAAGAATCTCATCTTATTTGCCTTATTTGGTATGAAATAAGGGTATGGGATATTTCTCTTGTTTCAAAAAGAAAAGATATTTTGATTTGATATGCTACACATTTCTGTGCCCACGTGATTGTGATTTATGAGAATCTTTGGCAACACCTTTTCCTCTCAAACTTCTAGGACAAATCCCATTGGTATGAAGGGACATATGGCTAAATGCTATGGTGATTTAGTACAGGAACTTTGGAGTGGAACTCAGAAGAATGTTGCCCCATTAAAGCTTCGGGTAAGCAGGTTAAAATGATATAAAAGTATTTAATTCCTAAACAATTGTTTAAGTAATCATTTTTCTCTACATGTTTTCTGTGTTTAGCTTTTTAGTCTAGTTTAATCTATGTTTTTGGATTCTTCACTAGGCATAAACAAGTTGTCAGACATTTTTACTTGTTCAAATATATGCACAATATGGCTGTATATATAGTAGACAGCAAAACATCAAAGGCATGGTCTGAATTTGGGATGTTCGTTTTACTAATTTGTCAAATATTTCACTTGTATGAATAGTAAACCTTTTTTGGTAATCCTTCATTATTAACAGTATTCTAACTGCAAGGTGGAGATCAGAGTCTAATTAATTGTATCTGATACATTATCAGCATTACCAAGATCGTTAGTTCCATCTGTAGAACATAAAAAAGTAGCAGAATGAAAAAATGTAATTAACGGATGCAAGTTTCATGTTAATAGCATATGTAGTGGATTTTAGTGAAGTTCAGATTATTTATTTAAAAACAAGGCAAAGTCTTTTTAGGTTAAAAATTAATCGTTGTAATAGTTAAAAATCTGACTGCTTACCATTTGCCAGGGACTATTCTAATTACTTTATGTGTGTTAACTCATTTAAACCTCTGGATAATTCTATAATGTAATGCAGTGTTGTTATTCCCATTTTGTGGCTCAGGAAACTAAGGCTCAGAGTAGTTATAGAGGTTGCTCAGTGTTGTAAGCTAGTGAGTCCTCATAGTTAAACACTATGCTATTCTGCCTATAATAATAAAAGTTAGGATGCAATAAGACCAGAAAAGTAACTGTGGAAGAAAACATTACATAGAATAGGAAGTCTTTCAATGTGTGAGCAAATGCTATTTTAATATTTCTTTCTTAAATAACATCTGTATCCCTAAAGAATTTAGTTCATTTATATGGTACTGAACTGGGAGATAGTATTGGCCAGACTACTTCTCTTTTTTTGGTCATTTGAAATTAAGATTGGAGAGATTTCATGATTATTCAAAATATATTTGCTGAAATAGAGACAGATTAAACACTGTTTACTTTCTTATAATGCATCTGATTGAATTATGAGACATGTTCATTCCAAATATTATGGGGTAGGAAATAATGACTGTGACTCCCCTTATATTTATAGTGGACCATAGCAAAATATGCTCCCAGGTTTAATGGGTTTCAACAACAGGACTCCCAAGAACTTCTGGCTTTTCTCTTGGATGGTCTTCATGAAGATCTCAACCGAGTCCATGAGAAGCCATATGTAGAACTGAAGGACAGTGATGGCCGACCAGACTGGGAAGTAGCTGCAGAGGTTTGTTGGTTTTGAGTTTCTAATGTAAGCAATAGATAAAATGTTCTGGCCACAAATACATGTAGCACAACTTAAATGCAAACTGAACTATTCTATGATCAGAATCTTGTGAAAACAAAGGAATTTTTATTTCTATGCTTAATTCTATGCAGTAATAGCCAAAAAAAAAAAAAAATAGAAAAATGTTGCCATTTCATATTGTAAACTTTATGCACTGAGATGTAGGAATAATTATCTAGTGAAATATAAAGCGTACCCATAATTGCTAAATTAATGAAAACAGTGACCTGTAGGTATGTTTTATCTGCTTTTTAATGGACAAAGAACTTTAATACTCACCATTGTTAGCATGGGAAGAACAAATGAAAAATAGAATTTTCCATCTGAATTTAATATTTTATAGGTTGCACAGAAAGAATCACATTCTCTTCAATAACTGGTTTTCTCTACTCTCAGTAGGCAATACATTTTAAATTACATATCTGAATTATAAATTTGTAGGCAAAAAACTTTTATATATATATTTTATATATATAGTGTATACATTTATTTATATATATATATATAGTGGCTGGCCAGTGGGGAAAGCTTTTATATTTTAAGTGAAGATTAAGGACTGTATTCTTGATATTTAAATCCCATATATTTAACAGTTTCTTTATAGATTTGTGTGGACATGCTTATCTTTTAAATTTTGGAGGAAAAAAAAAGCTCTATAATCTTTTTCCTTGGTAGGCCTGGGACAACCATCTGAGAAGAAACAGATCAATTGTTGTGGATTTGTTCCATGGGCAACTAAGGTCCCAAGTCAAATGCAAGACATGTGGGCATATAAGTGTCCGATTTGACCCCTTCAATTTTTTGTCTTTGCCACTACCAATGGACAGCTATATGCACTTAGAAATAACAGGTGGGTCACAAAATTCTGAAAAACTATTTTACTCCTATTTCCTTTACCTTATTCAAGCAACCTGAATTGGTAGTCAGCATATTATAATCAAGCAGTCTAGTTTCAGGCATGATTTGAGGTTTAAAAGATTTGGACTATAGGCCCATTTGTATGCTCATTGATTTTTTAGTTTCAAACATGTCAGAAACTGTCTTTTGCAAAGCCACTCACGCTTCTATATCAGATGAACATCACAAAATATTTAATTTACTCAATATTATCCCTAAGTACCATCTGTTTTAGTGTTCACATACAAAATAAAAATTCTAGGCTGAAACGTTTGCTGATTGCAAGTCAGATATATCTGCATACAACATGTAAGGCTTTCAATCAAATCTTCATTTACTGATAAAAGATCTTTTTTTTTTTTTACTAGTTATTAAGTTGGATGGTACTACCCCTGTACGATATGGACTAAGACTGAATATGGATGAAAAGTACACAGGTTTAAAAAAACAGCTGAGTGATCTCTGTGGACTTAAATCAGAACAAATCCTTCTTGCAGAAGTACATGGTTCCAACATAAAGGTAATATTAACCACTTTTTCTAGGTAACCTTTGATTTCATCTTTCAAAGATCACAGTTTTCTCAGTTATTATTAATTCACTGTTATGATAAATGATCAAGGGAGATACTGCAACATAACAAAAACCAAACAAAAAAACTTATCAAATTTTTCAACTAGAAACGTAAAAGGGCTGTCTACCATCTAAGACATTCTCTTCAAATACATCAGAGAAATAATTTTTCCATTTTATCTGAAATATCTTCCCCTTTTCATCTTGCTTCTTTTTCTGTAGAACTTCCCTCAGGATAACCAAAAAGTACGACTCTCAGTGAGTGGATTCTTGTGTGCATTTGAAATTCCAATCCCTGCCTCTCCAGTTTCAACTTCTAGTCCTATCCAGACAGGTAAGCTAAAACTAGCACTCCTTCTCATGATCTCAGCTTTAAATATTGGTGTAAGGGGTTGTCATCTTTTTATATTTGTTTGTGCTGAGGATATTAGAACAAATGAATTTTGGAGCTCAAAGGAAACATTACTAATCATTTCGCTCAAATTCCTCATTTTATAGATGGACAATCTAAAATTCAGACACCCTAAGTGACTAAGATAGTTATTAGCTAATATACTATTGGAATTCAGGTCTCTCTTAACTTTTATATACTAACAAGACAACAGATGGTATAAGAGGGACATACTACGAAAAAACATTTATAGCTAAAAAGCAATCTTTTTATTGTATTGTGGAATCAATATTGTATGTGGTTTAATATGGTCACTCATTGAGTCCTTTTGGCCACTAATATGCTTTGTCTATTCTTTATACTGCTTGTATTTAGGATAATTCCCTAACTATACTGCTCGTAATTAGGATAATTCCCTAGTTATAAAGGGCATCATAGAGAATGAGCTTCTTCTCATTGGCATGTAGTAGATAGTACTCATGGTGAGTTGGTGGATGATTTAATGTTGCTTTTTGTTTTGGGCTTCACTGTCCAATAGAACTCTGCAATGATGGCAACTTTCTGTGCTCCTTGCCATCCAGTACAGTATCCACGAGTCACATGGGCTGTTGTGCACTTGAATTGTGGCTAGTGAAACTGAGGGATGCATTTTTTATTCAATTTTAATTTTAATTTAAAAAGTAGTATCTGGCTAGAGGCTACTATATTGAACAGAGCATTTTTAGAGGAATGGAGAAATAAATTTTCAGAGAGAGGAAAGAGAAAACAAGTGGTAAAACTGTTTGTGTGCTATAACATATGGTGCTTATATAGATAAACAGTTTCCAGTAATTACTTTTACTTTACCATTTACTCATAGGTGTGGGTTATGGAAGTAAAATCTGAAATTTGCATCTTCTGATAAATCTAGAATTACTATTTGAAGTATGATTTCTTCCTGTCTGTGTTAAAAAGACCACAGTGTCGATGATCTGGGTCCTCAGGGTATTTGAGAAAAGAGCAAAAGCAGAAGTACCACAAGCTTACAACGTTGTACTTACCTTTGAATTTGTAGATTTCTCCTCTTCCCCATCTGCAAATGGGTTCACCCTGACTACTAATGGGGATCTGCCCCGACCAATGTTTATACCCAATGGAATGCCAAACACTGTTGTGCCATGTGGAACTGAGAAGAACTTCACAAATGGAATGGTGAATGGTCATATACCATCTCTTCCTGACAGCCCCTTTACAGGCTACATCATTGCAGTCCACCGAAAAATGGTTAGTTAAGTATTAGACAACTTACTGCTGGTCTTGCCAGTGTCATTTGTGAAACATAGTCATTTTGTCTTTGCAACATCTTTATTGAACGCATTTTCAATGTGTTGCATATGCTAATGTAAGTGATCAGAGCCAGGATTTAGTATCATACATAATGGCCAATTTGTGAAATGACATTTCTCACTCATATATTAAGAGGCAGCAGGATAGCCAGTGCATCCAAGCACTACTTTCTTTAAAACTTTGTGTCTCTTATGTGTTCATGGAGGCATGTACATCTTCTCTGCAATGTGAATGTAGGTGCCTTTGGAGAGGTTTTTTTGTTTTATTTTGGTTTTTTTGCGGGGGGAGGTTGTTTGTTTCTTTTTGGGGGCAACAAGAATGTTCTTGGGCATGGCAAATTGTGCAAACTCTTGATAAACTAATATATAACGATAACATTAAAGGCTGACTGATAAAAACAAAGGAATATCAGAAAACTGTGATCAATACATAGTTGTTAAAATTGGTAACTTGGTAGAGTAGAAAGAGCACTGGGCTAGGAATTGAGCAACCTTTGGTTCAAATTCTGCCACTACGTAGCTCATTGAGCTCTTTGGACTTCAGTGTTCTGATTTTGTAAAATAAAGGAGTAGGTCTGCTAGGTAATTTCTAAGATCCATTAGTTACCCCTACTACTGTTCAAAAATTCACACTATTTCTACTTTTTATTTCCATCTTATTTATTATATTTATTGGATAAAATGTACTATTTCGTAATCATTTAAAAAGCAGATGAACTGGGTTTTTTGAAGATGCAAAGTCAATGTAAAAAAAAAAAATCAAATACATTAACTAAATAACAACAAGAAGAGAAAACGAAATTATAAAAAATGTGCTGTATTAGTTTCCTAGGGCTGCTATAATAAATTACCATAAACTTGGTGGCTTAAAACAATAGAAATTTATTCTTTCACAGTCTGAAAGCCAGAATTCCAAAGTCAAGGTGTCAACAAGGCTGTGCTTCCTCCAAAGGTTCTAGAAGAAAATGCTTCCTTGCCTCCTCCACTTCTCCTGGCTCCAGGCATTGCTTGGCTTGTGGCTGCATAACTGCAATCTCTGCCTCTTCACATGGCCTTCTCCTTCTCCCTCTGCCTTATAAGAATAAAGACCCTTGTCACTGGATTTAGGGCCCATCCAGATAATCCAGGATGATCTCATCTTGAGATCCTCAACTTAATTACATGTGCAAAAACCCTCTTGCCAAGTAAGGCCACATTCACCGGTTCTGGGAGTTAAATATGGACATATCTTTTGGGAGGCCACCATTCAACTCACTACAGAGACTACAGTATCAAAAAAATTAAGTACCTAGGAATAAACTTCAGTAACATTATGCAAGGCATCTATATATAAAACAATAAACTATCGATAGATATTAAAGAAGACTTGAGCTGGCCAGTTAGCTCAGTTGGTTAGAGTGTGATAACACCAAGGTTTAGGATTTGATCCCTATACTGGCCAGCAAGAAAATTAATTAAGTAATTAATTAATTAAATATTTGAAGGAATAGACCATATTCACGGATTAGAATATTTGATATTTTAAAGCTATCAGTTCTCCACAAACTAATCTACAGATTCACTGCACAATCTAAAAAAATGCTGTGTGTGTGTGTGTGTGTGTGTATGACCTGATAAGCTGATTCTAACATGTGGAAATACTAAGAACCAAGAATAACTGAGACACTCTTGAAGAAGAATAAGGCATGAAGAATTGAGGTACCAGATGACTAATTTGAAAATGGTAGTAATGCCTGTTATTGGCAGTCTTAGAAGAACAAGAGAGGAATCAGAGACCTGTCTTCTCAGCTCTTTCTTCTTTTGGTTGTACATATAGATGAGGTCAGAACTGTATTTCCTGTCATCTCAGAAGAATCGCCCCAGCCTCTTTGGAATGCCACTGATTGTTCCATGTACTGTGCATACCCGGAAGAAAGACTTATATGATGCGGTTTGGATTCAAGTATCTCGATTAGCCAGCCCACTCCCACCTCAGGAAGCTAGTAACCATGCTCAAGATTGGTGAGTTCAGGGAATCAGCCTAGACTCTTGGTTTCCAAACTCCACAAGAATAATTTGTATGATTTTTACATGATTTATAGGACCTATTCCATGTCAAGTTAATCATGCTTGGAAGGACCATTCAGAAAGCATATAATTCAACCATTTGGTTTGATATTTTGAGTAAGAGAGACTGTACAGCTTCCTTTCATCACCTAGATATTCTGTTGTCTAATAATAATCCTTCCATTCTCTTATCTCTTGCCTAGATCCTCTGTTAATGCTTCAGATAATATCCTTATTTTCTGTTATTACAAGAGTAGAGTATGAATTCACCAGGAAATTTGTATCATTTCAGTCCTCTGAAATTCAGAATGGAGTGATGTTGTGTATATACATGAACTTTGAAAAAGTCTCAGGCCATAACAGATGTTTCAGTTGGATTGTTTCCATGCCATGTCATTTTAACATGGGACAATTTTATAAATTTAGGTAAAGATAATAAACATTTTCTGTTTTCTTTTCATTCCTCCTAATTGTTCTTTTGGACTAGTTAGTGCATTTACTTTGAATAATCTTTGGGATTGTGATCCATTACTCAATATCTAAATTGAATTGCAAGTCATTTTCTTGCTATCATGGTGCAAATAAGAGATCTGCTTCTGTGATAACTGAGTAAAAAAGTTCTCTTTGCTTATTTGCTATGGTATGGGGTCTTTTGATGATTAGGATAAGGCTTAAGGTAAATAAATCTTAAAGGAAAACTGCAAATAATAGATAAACAATTTAGTTGATGAATGTTGTGTTTAGTAAAAATGACAATTGGGTGAGATTACATTTAAAGTGAAAGTCTGATTGAATTAGATGAGGACTTTCCCCAGGACTTGGTAATGAATTGGATGTGGAGTTTGAGGGAAAGAGGAGTCTAGGCTAGGTTTTTAGCCCAAGCAACTGTTTGTGAGTGGTGATACCACTTAATGAAAAAAAAGGAAACTGGAGAATGAGCAGATTTTTGCAAGAAATGACAGGAAACAAGTTAAATTCAAGATGTCTGTTACATTCAGCATGAATATTCTTTGCTACAGATATACATATAGGTGTCATCAACAGATAATTGACATTTAAAGCCCTGAGACCAGATGATATCATTTAGAGAGTGAGAGTTAGATAAAGAAGATGCCCAAGATCTAATTTCTGACGCTTTCCAACATTTAGAGGTTGAAAAGAGGAAGAGTAGTAACAAAGGAGATTGAGAAGGAGTAGCTAGTGATGTAAGAAGAAAACCAGGAGTGAGCAGTTAACCAGAAGTTAGGCGAAGGAAGTATTTCAGGGAAGGAGTGATGAGTTGTTTCAAATGCTACAAGGATATTGAGTGAGAAGAGGACTGAGAATTGCCTAGTGGATTTGATAAAATGACAGTCTTCATTGACTTTTGTAAAACTGTTTTAATGGAGTGGTAGATGAAGGCATGGAGGTTAGAGTGGGTTAAAGAGAGAATGGCTCCACAGACAGTAAAAAGATAATAAGAGCTTATCTTTTGGAAATACACACTGAAATATTTATGGATAAAATGATAAAATGCCTCTGATTTTCATTAAAAAAATCTGCTGGGTCACAACAGGTGGAAACAACCCAAGTGTCCATCAATGGATGAATGGATAAACAAAAAGTGGTATATACATACAATGGAATGTTATTTAGCCATAAAAAGGAATGAAGTTCTGACACATACTACAACATAGATGGATCTTGAAAACATTAGGCTAAACAAAATAAACCAGACACAAAGGACAAAGATTGTATGATTTCACTTTTATGAGATATCTAGAATAGGAAAATTCATAGAGACTGAAAATAGAGTAGAGACCAGGGTCTGGTAGTCTCTATCTCTACCACTACTAAGGTCTGGTGGTCTGGTGGCAGGGAGGGGGTTATCATTGCTTAATGGATAAGAGTTTATGTTTGGGAAGACGAAAAAGTTCTGGATATGGATGGTGGTAATGGTTGTACAACATCGTGTATGTACTTAATGCCACTGAATTGTATACTTAAAAATGGTTAAAATGGTAAATTTTCTGTTATGTATATTTTATCACAATTTTTTGATGGGGGAAATATAGACTGTAGTGGGAGGGGGTAGGGGTATGGATAAAGTAAGAATGGCCAGGTGTTGATGATTATTGTAGTTGGGTGATGAATACATGGGGTTCATTGTACAGTTCTCTACTTATGTGGGTCAGAAGGAAAATGAGGATTTGAGGCCAGAGATTGGAGGTTTCTATTTGGCCAAAGAATTGTTAAGAGCAGAGATATTTGAATAAGTGATCTAAAAAGATAGGAGAATATGGTTGCAAAGTAGGATACTTAGAATTGAGATTTTGGAGGTGGTAAAGTTTGTATTAACAAGGTCTAGAATATGACAGTTGGAAAGGTGGATCATATGGGGTAGAGGGAATTGTTTTTTGGCAGAGAGAAGGCCAAGATATTGTTGTATTAGTTACATTGATGTTGCTGTCACCAAGAATAATAAAAGAAGTGATGGAGAGAAAAACAGTGAACCAGGTGGTAAAATCTTTAGTGAATATAGTGAATAAAGAAGAGATGATGCACCTACCAAGGAGGAATAGCAGGTGTCATAGTTCAATAGCACATGCTACAAAGAAGCTGGAATTTTTTAGAAAAAGAAGGAAGGAGATTCATCTAGAAGTGGCAAAGAGGAGTAAGGAGGTGATCCATATCACCTCCAGGTTCTGGGGTATGTGAGAATAAACAGGATCCTCAAGAATGGTAGGCTTCGTTCAGTTAGAACAAAAAGGTAAAGGAAATTTTCAGGAGGGGGGCTGCACAGTTCCCCATGAGAGTGCTACTTGATCGTTTTGTCCCTTTATCTTTCTTTTGATTCCTTACTTACTGTTGACCTGATTTGGACATGATTCTGGACAGTATGGGCTATCAATAATCATTCTCTGAATGAGTTATGCCCAAAGATGGGGACTCCTATGCCAGATGTGATACTCACTTTTGTCCATACAGTGAGTCTTTATCACAGTTTTATTACCTTTAGCAGCCATGTAAGAGACTACCAATTGCCAGAGGAGCTGTAAAATATACTGCTCTTATGTCCTTGCATTGCTTTGTCCCCAAGCCCAGTTTTACTGAACTATTATTGACAAATAGGAATTGTATATATTTAAGGTATACAACTTGATGTTTTGATATATGTATAAATTGTTACATTGCTTCTTCCTGGGGCAAAGATAAGTAAATTTTTTTAAAAGTTGGAGAACTCACAAAGCTATCTTGACACAATTGTTGACAGTTAAAAGAAGTTGCTCCAAGAATAATATGTAGCTTATAGTATGTATCACATCAGGGATTCTGATTAAAGAATGCTTCTTAGTATACAGCCTTCTGTGTCATGTTAATGTTTTTGACATGGAAAGGTTTAATTATTTTAGTTTAATGTGCATTAAATCCTCTGATAGAATTAGGACTGAAGGATAATTGGTGTTTGATTTCATGATTAGGTTATCTTATAAAATTTTCGTGAACCACATGAACTCTCTTAGAGACATCTGGCGGTCTAGTATGTCTCCCCTTCTGTAAGCAGAGATGCAGCATGGGAGTCAAGTTGGTACAAAGTATGATTGGTACAGAGTGTGGTTGATAATGGATTAGGGTAAGCAGCATTGAGCCATCAACATGAGCATACCACTGTGGCAAATGCCCCTTCCTAAGATTGCTTCAAGGGAAGAGGAAGAGGAATTGGACCTCAAACCAGAAAAACGTCTTACACTTTTGGTTTATTTATGTTCTCTTCTGTTTCAGTGATGACAGTATGGGTTATCAATATCCATTCACTCTTCGAGTTGTACAGAAAGATGGGAATTCCTGTGCTTGGTGTCCATGGTATAGGTAAAGTGACCTTCTGCAAAAGAAAAATTTTAGTAGAATTGCAGCTTCAGATATTATAGCTTTTTCATAAGATTTTCAGTTTTGAGAAGTGATAGCAAGTCATAAAAAGCTTGAAATAAACTTGTTCATCTCTTCCTTGTGAGGTCAAAAGCTAAGTTTTGCTTTTGAGACTTAGCTGGTTTTATAAACTCCACAGTGCACACCAAATTCATAGCTTATGGTCAACATTTATTATTCTATACCTTCTGCTCTTTAAATGTAAATCAGTTTTCAAGACTTTGCTGGAAGTCTATTTTTGGTTTTTAGAAGAGTTAGGGAGATTGGTTGTTGATGTTACAGCAGGGAAATTGCCTGACAATACTGAAGTTAACCTTTAGAGAATGTAATAGACTTAGCAAACTGAATCTAAAATAGGCATTGGAGCCATGGCTTTGTCATGCACCACTCCTCCCTGCCCCTCACAACATGATAAATTTTGGTATACATTTATTTAATGGACCATTTTACAAACAAGGGCATAGGTGTTTCTATACCAGATAAATCGTCCTACGTCAGAGCGTTAAATCACTGAATATAGAATTTCTTTAGAGCTGTATTAACTTAAATAGCCAATTCCCATATCATTTATTTGCCATAAAGCTGACATCTTCTTGTGTATAACAAACGGTCATCAAGTACTTCATAAAATCAGAGGCTCAACAAGTGATAAGCATGATTCCCTGAAGTAATAATTATTATTAATAAACATTCCTGCATTTGTCATAATCTGAAGTTAGCAGCCATTGACAAATTGTGAAGCCAAAGAATAAAGTAGAAAAGTTAGGAAGGGAATATGAAGGTACTTTAGAAATTTCGTGGAAACATAGAATTAAAAGATAATATGAATTTGTGAACTTTTTGAAGTACCCTCATATTTCTTTTTATTTTTGCCTGAAAAAAAAGCACTTAATACCCTCGTATTTCTGCTTAAGAAAAATTAGATTCCTTTATAATTATTTCTTCCTCTGTGGACCTGTTTCCCCCTTTTAGATTTTGCAGAGGCTGTAAAATTGATTGTGGGGAAGACAGAGCTTTCATTGGAAATGCCTATGTTGCTGTGGATTGGGACCCCACAGCCCTTCACCTCCGCTATCAAACGTCACAGGAACGGGTAGGTGATTGGGTGGGGCCACCATAAGATGGTAGTTTTTTGGTTTTTTTTTTTCCTTTTTGTCTTTTTTCGTGTCCGGCAACGGATCGCAACCCTCAGTGTCGCGCCCGTACCAGACCGGGACCGGCAACGGGATCGCAATCCTCGGTGTTGCGCCCGCACCTCGCTCAGCCAGTGAGCGGGAACCGGTCTGTATGTGGGATCTGAACCCTTGGCGGGAGCGCAGCTGTGCTCCCAAGCGGCGCACTGTAGCAGTGCGCCACCGGGCCGGCCCAAGATGGTAGTTTTTATATGGGCAATTTTCCCCAGTCTAACTATATTATATGCCATTTCTGTTTTAGATAATTTAAATGCAGCCGGAAAAATGTTTATTGGCATTCTTTGTCGCTTAATACATTGACATGATTGCATGGATTTTTCAGTTTTCCAGCTTCTGGAGTTAATTGTTTGGGGGCATTAAATTTCAAAACATTAATAAATAAAGTAAATCTTGAAACAAAACTATGTAATTAAGAAGTTATATTCTTTGGCCATGACATACCAATAAACATCTCTCTGCCTGTTAAATATTATTGAAGCTACAGCATTTGGTAACCACAATTAACTTATCTCAAATGTGTCCCAGGATTATAGCAGCTACTTTTAATGAGAATAATGATCAGAAAACTTAGAGAAAGGATTGAAATGTTTCAAGACTGGATACCTGAGTACATCTCATTGGCTGTTCTCCACACATCGCATTCCCTCTACTGCCGTGCTCCAGCCAGAGCTATTTTTGAATTCTGAAAATCTTACTTCAGAAAGAATACTAACTACTAACTCCATACTTAAAAATGTTTGCTTCAAATAGTTTTGGTGGGGTTTTTTTTCTTTTTTTTAACAACTATAAGGAGGTAGAAATGTCTCAGGCAGTTTTTAATCAACCAAATATTGTTTGAAGTTGTAGATGTATTAAGAATCTGATGGAGAAGTAAAAACAACAGAATGAAAGGACTGTCTTTTTTTTTTTCCCCTTTGGTTGTAGCTAGTAGTGAGATTTGAACCATTGATCTTCAATAACACCACACTCTATGGGCCGGCCCGGTGGCGCACTCGGTTGAGTGCGGTGCTTGGGAGTGTGGCGGCGCTCCCGCCGAGGGTTCGGATCCCATATAGAGACCGGTCCGCTCACTGGTTGAGCGCGGTGCGGGCGCAACACCGAGGGTTGCGATCCCGTTACCGGTCACGAAAAAAGACAAAAAATAAATAAATAAAAATAACACCACACTCTAACCAACTGAGCTAAGTGTTCAAGCCTTCAAAGGAGTTTCTTAAGTCCATGAGGAATTGTAGTAGTTTTTGCATTTATAGGGCTCTTGATTATTGGCAAGTTTCTTCACTATTTCTTAAAGCATTCCCTTTAGATAAGTTAGTAATGGTAATTGACTGTTTTGTCTTTTTATGCTATTGAAGAGTGGGGAAACTACCAATTCAGACCTAGGTTCCTATTTGGATCCCTGGATATACCCTTATACACCCTGGGGCTTTTTTGGTAGCTCTTTCTAGCCCAGGATGAGTATAATTTGTTGATACGTGTTAAATGAAAGATCACTGGGCTAAAGAAACTGAAGAGAAGTTGCTGTTCTATATCATGCTCACTATAACAAAGTAATTCAATAACCTCAGCCATGCTTCCTTTGAAGAGGGAAAATTTTAAGCAATTGATAGATTTCTAAGTCTTTGTCAGCACAAAATCTGACAGGACATTATTCTGACAAGACACTCCTGTCAAAGATGAAAAATTATTTAGCTCTGTAAATCTCTTCCCCTTTTAAACAAGCCCAACATGCAAGCTCTGGAGGACGTCCCACTTATTCGAGGAAGAACCTACCTGACCTGTTAAATTTCAGCTCACTTTTACTTTCAGTGATGCACCTAGGCTACCATGGAAACAAGCAGCTATTGAGATATTCTGCCTTGCTGGGGTATGGGGCCACATGACTAATCTGGGCTCTTCCTACATGTGGTTTCTGTATGTGCTTAGAGTCACATAGACAAAGGAAGTTCTATGACTCAAAACTGAGATTATTGCCCATATCCTTTCTATTTTTTATTCCAGTGATTTTCCTTCTAGGAATTTACTCTAAGGGAATAGGATAGTCTATAATTTGCAGACATGTTCATAAGCATTTTTTAGAATAGTAAAAAATTAGAAACAACTTATTTTTGTCCCACATTAAAGGAATGGTTAAATAAAGCATGATATATTCATTGAGTAATATATTATGCAGTCATTGATAATGATGATAACCAGGAGTTTTTACTGACATTTATGGGAAGATAATTAATGATATCATGTTAAATTTGTATAAATAGCAAGATATAAAATTGCATATACTGGAAAAAAATCTCTTCAGTATTAAAAAAAGAAAAAATGCTGTTTAAGAAAAGGATGAAAGAAAATCTGCCAATATTTTTACAGTGGTTGCTTTTGTATTAAGAATATTTGGATCCCCATACTGCCTAGCTGCCCTCCCCGCCCCCCGCCAAAAAAAAAAAGAAGAGGTTTGGCTGGTTAGCTCATTTGGTTAGAGTGCGGATTTGTAACACCAAGGTCAAGGGTTCAGTTTGCCAGATTGGCCAGCCACCCAAAAAAAAAAATCAAAACTTTTCCTCCCTTTTTATATTTTTCTTTTCTTTCCAAAATTTCTGTGTGAATATTTTATTTTGTAATTAAAACAAACAAAAATAGAGGGGCAGTTGCTCTTATTCTTTGCATTTTCCCACTGTTTGGACCTCACAGTCCTCAAAAAATTTTTCTTTTTTATTCTCAGTAAAAATTAAACTAGATAACTCATTACATCTTTCTCTTTTTTTAATAGTCTTATAATGTATGAAAACTATTACTTCATTCGTGTTAAAGGTGAGCTTTAAAGCTACTTAGAAAATAAAAGAAGAGGGTACCTATAAGTAATTTAGACTATTTGAACAATAGTAGAGGATCTGGTCCTGGATCTCAAGAAGTAAAGGGACTCTTTATCATTTAGGGAAATTTTATTGATAAATAGAAATTATTGTCAGACCACAAATGTGTTTTTTATCAGCCTTCCTTCCTCCCTGTTTCTTTCTAGCTCTAAAGCCTGTGTTCCACAGAAAATGTAGTCAAGAAAAATCAGCACTCTTTACTAGCTTATTATAATTTGTGGTTGGCCATAAAGCATCCCTGGTAGAGATAATAGAGATAATATTTAACTTGCTATGAGAAAAGAGACAATACTGTACAAGGATACTTTTAAAAGCTCATGCAAAAAAACTAAGAACAAATAAGAAAAAAATTTTTAAATGTTCATGCAAAGATTCATATTACCTTTCAATTCTATTTTTCCATGAACTTTTTGAAGTACCCTCGTATTTGATACACCTCTTTTGCTACTCATTCCAACAACCATGACGCAGCATGTTTCCTTTTGAAGCATGTCAGTTTTTCCCTTGAGTAACCAGCTTAAAAGATGATGAGAGTTAATATCTTGTTACTACAGAATTTGTGCTGAGAAAAGAAGTCAGTGACCCAAGGTCAAGCCAGGTCTCCTTTTCTAAAAAAAGAATTTTCTCTAAGTTCCCCTTTTTAAATGACTTCTTTAGACTGGGTGGTGATACAATGCTAAAACTTTAATTGCTTGATCAACCCCAAAAGTGATAGCTTGTTAGGGCCATTTGACAACCTTGTAACCCGTCCTTTCCTATAGGGAAAAGGTCTCACTTGAAAACCTATTCTAAATTGAATGTCCTGAGCTGTGCCAATTTGTAATCCAGACAGCTCATTGTTCCCATCCTGAGTTTTAGGAAGGGAAACGTGGGGGAAATTGCCTCAGGGGAAGAGAACAAGTTCACCTCTGGAAGGGAGGAGTAATAAGTAGGGTGATGGACATACGATGGTACTTCAGAAAGTTCGTGGACACCGGTTCACTCGGGAGAGGGCAGTGCTGATAACACCAAGGCCACAGGTTCGGATCCTATATAGGGATGGCTGGTTCGCTCACTCGCTGAGCGTGGTGCTGACAACACCAAGTCAAGGGTTAAGATCCCCTTACCGGTCATCTTTAAAAAAAAAAAAAGAAAGAAAGTTCGTGGACAAATAGAATTGAAAGATAATTTGAATCTTTCCATTAAATTTTTTTTTTTTTTTTTTTTTTTTTTTTTTTTTTTTGCCTTTTTTGTGACCGGTAAGGGGATTGTAACCCTTGGCTTGGTGTGGCCTGCACCGCACTCAGCCAGTGAGCGCACCGGCCATTCCTATATAGGATCCGAACCTGCTCCCGAGTGCGCCACGGGGTCGGCCCCTTTCCATGAACTTTTCGAAGTACCCTCGTAGATGTGACCTTTGCAGAAAGAGAGGCAGTCATTATTGGACTTGTAGTCTGTGCTCTACCTTGGGACAAAAATCTCCCTGTGTGAAGTCTCATGGTAGTGTTCATCATTCTGATACTTTGCCTAACCCACCTTCTCATTCGTAATAGAGACCAACAGAAGGGTCCTAGCTCCTTGGGGGGTTTTTTTGGTGGGGGGGCGGAGAGGGCTTTTTTTGTTGTTTTTTTGTTTTTTGCAGCTGGCAGGTACAAGGATCCATGGTTCTTGATTGCTTGCCAGGTGGCAGCCAGGTATGGGAGAGGGAAAAAAATTCTTTTTTATTGCATTCTAGGTCCTTTCTTCTCTCCCTACTCCCCATTCTCTAGCACCCGCAACACACATTTCTACACACCTACCCCACTTTGCTCTCTCTCCTTTTTTATGCTTGCCTCCTTCTTGCTCCAAAGCCTACCTAAAAGGCCCAGAGGAATTAAGGGCCTTCTCAACAAAAGGAGCATGCTCTTTTGAGCTTGCTGTTCCTTTTATTACCACCTCAGATTTTTAAAAAGCCCTCTGAGACAGGAGACAGATAATGATACAAGAGGTATTCCAATAACTCTGTGTTATATAGTATCAGTATGCAAATGAGTTGCATCCTCTAGAGTTTAATGCTCTGGTTTTTTACTTTCTCATGGTGAACTTTTCTGTACCCTTTCTTATTTCATACAGATCTGGCATCTGTGAAGCCTACAGCATACTAACAATGCTCTGTCTTTCTGGTTAAAAAATAAATGGCTTACTTGCAGCACCCCTGGCTTGAGGGTCAGCTCACATGTAAACTGTTTCAGGATTCTAAAATTGTGAAATAAACAGTCAGTTCCTTGTTTGTTTTTGTTTTTGTTTTTGTTACTTTGAAGCCTTTAGAAATTTTTCAAGAAAAGCTACAAGTCATATAAATAGAGATTTTATCTAAGATGTTACTGGTAAGATATTTGTGAATAAATGCTAGATGCTGTATTTGCTCAAAGACTCTAGTTTGGGTTGTATTTTCTTTTTCCTCATGTAGAGTAAGATAAGGGTTAGTAAACGAGAGCATGATGCATAGCTGTATGACAATTTTAAATGCCCTCGCCATAACCCCCATTCCTCCCATTCCCTCTACCTGCAGGTTGTAGATGAGCACGAGAGCGTGGAGCAGAGTCGGCGAGCACAAGCTGAGCCCATCAACCTGGACAGCTGTCTCCGTGCTTTCACCAGTGAAGAGGAGCTAGGGGAAAATGAGATGTACTACTGTTCCAAGTGTAAGACCCACTGCTTGGCAACCAAGAAGTTGGATCTCTGGAGGCTTCCCCCGATCCTGGTATGTGACAGTCCTGCCTCTGAGAGAGTAGAAGTTTAGCATAAAGGAAAGAAGTCATGAACAAACAGGAATGTTTGTTATTTTTGAGAATAAGACCCTTCCTACAGCAGTGTTTAAAACACTTTTTCTGGGGCCGGCCCGGTGGCGCACTGCTACAGTGCGCTGCTTGGGAGCGCGGCGGCACTCCCGCTGAGGGTTCGGATCCCACATACAGACCGGTTCCCGCTCACTGGCTGAGCGAGGTGTGGGCGTGACACCAAGGGTTGTGATTCCGTTGCCGGTCCTGGTCCAGTACGGGCGCGACACTGAGGGTTGTGATCTGTTGCCGGACACGAAAAAAGACAAAAAGGGAAAAAAAAAACAAAAAACACTTTTTCTGTGCAAGGTTTTTATGTTGAGCACGGAGATGAATTATTCAGCAGATGTTTGATAGTTTCTTTTTCTAACGAACTTACAGCCTAGGAGAGAGACATCATTTAGACCAGTAACTGCAATTCACTGCAATGTGAGAAGTGCCACAGTGGTACACCCTGATGAATTTGAACACATCTGGCTCTATGGAGAGAGGAAGCTTTAGGCTAGCTTTTCATAGCCTATAGAAGAGCAACTGGGCTGGGAGCTCCCGTTACTGCTGCACTTGGTCACGGGCTGTGGCACACTGCCAAGTTATGTTTGTGTGCACAAGCACATCAATGCACTGAGCTTTATATATTCTTTTAGATTTGATTTACTTCTGCCTTCTCCCTTCATGGATTTGAAGACTCTCCTGTTGCTTGTCAGGAGAATTTGAATTGACAAATCTTCCTAATTGCTTAAGGAAGCCTTTTCCTTAAGGGTGGAAGTACCATCAAATGTAACTGTAAGGTACTAGTATATTTTAACCGGGCGTGTATGTATTTTCTTATTCATGTCTTCATCCTACTACTCTGTGAAACTGAATGTAGGTTTTTCTTTCCTTAGACCAGAACAGCTTGCCAGGGAAGAATGCACAAGAAATGAATAATATTGGTTAGCTAGCTCCAGGGATGGAAAATGGGAGAAGGGAAGAGGGTAAAAGTAGGCTTAGGGACATGGTAGGTGGGGAAGGGGGAGCCTTATTTTAAAATCGAGGTATAACTAACATACAATTAGATGCATAGATTTTAAATGCCCAATTTGATAAATTTTGGCAATTACATATCATCATATAACCACTACATAAAACACATCGTGGAGTAAAGGCATTTATCAAAACCATATTTTTTGCCGAGCCCGTGGTGCACTCGGGAGAGTGCGGTACTGGGAGCGCAGCAGCGCTCTCGCCACGGGTTCGGATCCTATATAGGGATGACCGGTGCGCTCACTGGCTGAGCACGGCACGGCCAGTCTCAAAAAGGACCAAAAAAACCCCCCAAAAAAACCCCATATTTTTGAGGTCTTTAAAGAATAATGAAGAATAAATGTTATGTTGTATATTTTTTAATATTATGTTGTGTATTCATATGTATTAGACATTTTTTATGTAAATATCTTCAGAACACTTTAACATAGATGTTTTCTACTTTTTGTTCTCCAGATTATTCATCTTAAACGATTTCAATTTGTAAATGGTCGATGGATAAAATCACAGAAAATTGTTAAATTTCCTCGTGAAAATTTTGACCCTAGTGCTTTTTTGGTACCAAGAGACCCCGCTCTCTGCCTGCATAAACCACTCACACCCGCAGGAGATGACCTCTCTGAGCCAAGGGTTCCAGCAGGAGAAGCGAAGAAAGTGGATGCCCAGAGCTCAGCAGGGGAAGAGGAAGTGCTCCTGAGCAAGAGTCCATCCTCACTCAGTACAAACATCATCAGTAGCCCAAAAGGTGAGGAGGCCTGGGGGTACCTAATGGAGGGGCTTTCTTGGGACTGTGTAGGCATATTTCCCTCTGTCTTCTTCTCTGGAGCAACAGTTTGGTGGGGTAGAAGGAACCTATGTGGAATCAAACCTATCTATATTTGAGTTACGTTGACTTTTAACAAGCTATATAGCCTCCCTAAATCTATTTTCTTATCTGTAAATGGAGATAATACTAAGTTCACAGGATGTGAGAATTTGATTTATCAAGAGTGGAGCAAGGGGCCGACCCCATGGCTCACTCAGGAGAGTGCAGCGCTGGGAGCGCCAAGGCTGCAGGTTCGGATCCTATATAGGCATAGCCGGTGCGCTCACTGGCTGAGCGCGGTGCAGACGACACCAAGCCAAGGGTTATGATCCCCTTACTGGTCACCAAAAAAAAAAAAAAAAAGAGTGGAGCAAGGTCAAGGGTTCAGCTTGACCTGTACTGGCCAGCTTCCAAATAAAAAAGACTGAAGTACTTTACATAATGCCTGACATATTGTAAACATGAGTGGTACTTGTAGTTGTCATTCTTGTTCCCTTACAGCAGAGGTTCTCATAGTACAGTCTGGGAACCCCTAGAGGTCCCTGAAACCCTTTCAGGGGGTCTGGAGGATGAAAACTATTTTCATAAGAATAAGTTTCCTGGGAGTGCAGGCACATGCCTGCTGGGGTGGTTTAGTATCCTTATGCTCTTGGGCCACAGCCAGGTGCCTGCTGTCCCTTACAACACTTTGCTGAGCAGGTATATGTGCAGCCGTAATGTGTCTGCTCCACTGCCTGCCATTTTGCCCACTGCTGGGAAGGCCACCACCATAGTGATTTTCTTTCATGGATTGGGAGATACCAGGCACAGATGGGCAGAAGCTGTTGCAGATATCAGAAGTTCACATAGCAAATATATCTTCCCGCATGTGCCAGTTGTGTCTATTAAATAAATTTGAGGTGTGGCCGATTATCTTAGTTGGTTTAGAGCGTGGTGCTGATAACACCAAGGTCCAGGGTTCAATCCCTGTACTGGCCAGGTACCAAAAAAAAAAAAGTTAAATATGAACATAGCTATGCCTTATTTGTTTGATATGATTGGTCTTTCACCAAATTCATGGGAGGGTGAACCTGGAATTAAACAGGCAATAGAGAATATAAAAGCTTAGATAGACCAAGAGGTGAAGAGTGAAAAATAAGTCAATAAAAAAATAAAAAGAGGAAAAATGGCATTCCTTCTAATAGAATTATTTTGGGAGGATTTTCTCAAGGAGGAGCTGTAACTTTATATACTGCTCTCACCACACAGCAGAAACCGGCAGATGTCATCACCCTTAGTTGCTGGCTTCCGTTTTGGGCTTTGTCTCCACAGGGTCCTATTAGTAGTTCAAGAAGAGATCCTTCTGTTCTCCAGTGCCATGGAGATTGCAACACTTTGGTTCCCCTAATATTTGTTTCTCTTACTGTTAAAAACTAAAAACATTAGTAAAGCCAGCCAATGTAACCTTTAAAACCTATGAAGGCATGATTCACATTTCATACCAACAGGAAATGATGTCTGTCAGGCAATTCATTGATAAGTTCCTACCTTTATTTGACTGATGTCACTAAGAGACCTTGTGTAGAAGTACACCAGCATCACTGTAATAGAGTATAGACCTTTTCTGAGCTCAATCTTGAAACTTCTAATGTTTGCAGTGTTAAAATGTTTTGCAGATGCATGCCAGTGACACAGACTAAATAATGTCTCTTCGTGGGAAATTTATGATCATTTAAGTTTCTGTACATGTATTTGTATATGATCCAGAATATATTTGTATTAAATAGATGAAGCAGCTAGCTTATTTTTTTCAAATGTAATTCAGCAAAATAATAAAATACTAAAACCAGATTTTTTATTACATCATTTGAAAATTACTGGTGTGCTTAATGAAAATTTGTTTAGGTATAAACGAGCAGTTAAGATACAAACGATTAAACAATTTAAAAGTAAAAAAAAAAAAATCCGATTAAAAAATGGGCAAAGGAGCTGAATAGACATTCTCAAAGGAAGACATACAAATGACCAACAGATGCATGAAAAATTGGTCAGCATCACTAATCATCAGGAAAATGCAAATCAAAACCACACTGAGGTATCATCTCACCCCAGTTACCCCGGCTATTATCAAAAAGACAGAGAATAACAAATGCTGGCAGGATGTGGAGAAAGAGAAACACTTCTACACTGTTGGTGGGACTGTAAATTAGTGCAGCCATCATGGAAAAAGAGTATGGAGGTTTCTCAAACAACTACAGATAGATCTATTGTACGATCCAGCAATCCCAGTACTGGGTATATATCCAAAGAATGGAAATCATGTCAAAGGGATCCCTGCACTCCCATGTTTACCGCAGCTCTATTTACAATAGCCAAGATATGGAACCAACCTAAGTGTACATCAAAGGGCAACACACACACACACACACACACACACACACACAGTGGAATACTACTCAGCCATAAAAAAAGAGTGAAATTCTGCCATGTACAGCAACGTAGACAAGCTTGGAGAAACTTATGTTAAGTGAAATAAGCGAAGCACAGAAAGAGGAATACTGCATGTCCTCACTCCTAAGTAGGAGGGAAGGAAGAGAGGGGTAGAAGGGAGGACAATCATAATAAGTTGAACTTTCAGAAGGAGAGAACAGAACTGTGATTGCTAGAGGTGGGAAAAGGGGAGAGGGAGAGGGATAGTGAGAATTTGGTTAATGGACACACAGAATGATTATGTTTTGTAATGACGAATATGCTAATTACCCTGATTTGATCATTACATATTGTACACAATTATTAATAGTCAAGTCTGTACCCCACAAATATGTATAATCAATTATGTTTCAATAAAAAAAATAAAGGATTTATGCATGCTGTGACTTAGTCTATGGATTTATTCCAAAATTGCTTAGTCACCATGCAGTGCTTGTATTTTTATATATGTATTCATATGTACATAAGTGTAATTCATAATAAGAATGAGGTGGTATTACATTATTCCTAATAATAGGTAAAAGGCTTTTAAGTTTCATTAAAGAGTAATATTGCTCTCTTCAATTAATGGCCCTTTTATTTTGGGGACTAAGCTTTTCTTTTCCCTGATATTATTCCTATTTAATATTCTATTCTCTCGAGAAAAAGAAAATACGTTCTTTTTTTGTTGTCCTTCATAGTGGACCAAATATTACCTCCCTGCCATAGAAAGCTACTGTCAATACATGCTGTAGTTTGACATTCTGAATCGTAGATAGATGATATTTAAAATCTATTTATACTTTATAAAGAAATCAGGGCTGGCTGGTAGCTCAGTTGGTTAGAGCATGGTGCTGGTAACACCAAAGTCCAGGGTTTAATTCCTGTCTCAATCAGCCACCAAAAATAAAAAAAGATACCAGGTAGAGTAATGTTACAGAGTGGAGAGAATGAGGAAGCTACGTCTGACTGCCATTCTCACAGCCACTGAAGTACATTGAGCTCCATAGAGACAGGGCTGGGGCAAGTGAGAGCCAGGCAGGCACTGGGCAACTCTGTGCCTCGCTGGGGAAAAATAAATAACCACAGGCAAAGGAGATCCTAAGAAGCCAAGAGGAAAAATGTCATTATATGCATTCTTTGTGCAAAATTGGTGGCAGGAGCACAAGAAGTAGCACCCAGATGCTTCAGTCAACTTCTCAGTTTTCTAAGTGCTCAGAAAGGTGGAAGACTATGTCTGTTAAAAAGAAAGGAAAATTTGAAGACATGGCAAAAGTGGACAAGGCCCATTATGAAAGAGAAATGAAAACCTATATCCCTCCTAAAGTGGAAACAAAAAAGAAATTCAAGAATCTCAGTGCACCCAAGAGGCCTCCTTCAGCCTTTTTCTTGTTCTGTTCTGAGTATTGCCCCAAAATCAAAGGAGAACATCCTGGACTATCTACTGGTGATGTTGCAAAGAAACTGGGAGATATGTGGAACAACACTGCTACAGATGATCAACAGCCTTATGCAAAGAAGGCTGCTAAGCTGAAGGAAAAATACAAAAAGGATATTGCTGCATACCGACCTAAAGGAAAGCCTGATGAAGCAAAAAAGGGACTTGTCAAACCTGAAGAAAGCAAGAAAAAGAAGGAAGAGGAGGATGAAGAGGATGAGGAGGAGGTGGGTGAAGAAGAATATGAAGAGGAAGATGATGATGAATAAGTTGGTTCTAGCACAGTTTTTATTTTCTTGGTTATAAAGCATTTAATCCCCCTGTATACAACTCAGTCCTTTTAAATAAAAAAATTGAAATGTAAGGCTGTGTAAGATTTGTTTTTAAACTGTACGGTGTCTTTTTATTGTATAGTTAACACACTACCAAATGTGTCCTTAGATAGCTCTGTCCCGGTGGTATTTTCAGTAAATACTAACCTTGCCTGGTACAGTATGGGGGTTGTAAATTGTCATGGAAATTTAAAGCGTGTTCTTGTTTGGTGCACAGCACAAATTAGTTATAAATGGGGATGGTAGTTTTTTCATCTTCAGTTGTCCCTGATGCAACTTATATGAAATAATTGTTGTTGTGTTAACTGAATAACTACTCTGTAATTTAAAAAAAAAAATCTTGCAGCTGTTTTGTGACATTCTGAATGCTTCTAAGTAAATACAAGTTTTTTTTATTTAAAAAAACCCCAAGATATCATGTAAAACTTCCTATACTATTTTTTTCAAATAACTGTACTTTATTCCAAATTAGACCTATTTATAGTTGGTTAGAGTGAACACCAAGGTCAAGGGTTCAGATCCGCATACCAGCCAGCTGCCAAAAAAAAAATTAGACCTATTTAGTTATTAGAATCTTCAATCCAGGTCACAGGAATGATTCTATGGTTTTATTTTTCTGTAAGCAACTGAAAGAATAATTAGGTCATATTTTAGTATGTTTTGAAATATTTAAGACTGATCTTAAAAACAAACTTCTAAGATGATTTGGTATACTTGTAGCATAGAGTTCAAATTTACTTGGTTTGAAACTACTGTAAAAAATGAGTAATCTATTAGAAAAATTTGTTTTATTTTTATCTGCCAATGAACTCATTTGAAATTTTCACTTTAGTCAAATGCTTTTTTTTGTGCAGACAAAAATAGTGATCAATTTTTAAATAGTAAAAATTTCCAAATTAATAATAAAAATTATTTCAAAACAAATGTATGGGTAATAAAAGTTAGAACCCTATATGTATGGTGTAATTACCATACAGTTTAATATATGGCAAAAATGTATACTTGATATTTCTGGACTGTTAATTTTTCTGCTGTATTCCAACTGACCAAAACAATGTTAGGAATGCATCTTTATAAACAGGTGCTAATTGATAAGGGAAATGATTTTGTAATGGACTATATATAGGATGTTATTAATGAGGCCATATATTTATGTCTAGATTTAAAATTTTTAAACAATCATTTACTAATTTTGCTTTGCCTTGAAGAACATAAGCTGTTTCAGTTATACAGATCAGCAAGATCTTATTTATGGTAAGAAGTATTCCACTGAAATGTTGTATTGTAACATGGAAAAATGTAAATGTTTTTCATGGTTTCTATCAGTATAAAATAAAATTTAATTCTGAAACAAAACCTATTTTTATAAAAGTACTAAGACAATATATGCCTTTTCACTTTTATTCTCTCACAAATACACAGTGGAGTCAGAGACAACATGACATGTGATGATAGCATTGCACTGACTTATGTGCTTGTGTATTGTAGTTTTTAAATTCCTCCGTTTTAATTTCTAATGAGGGATTTTTTTTTTTTTTCTTTTTTGACAGCTGTCCAGTACAGGGATCAAACCCTGGGCCTTGGAGTTATCAGCACATTGTGGAAATCTTGATAGATAACATCAACATAAACAAAAGTTCTAGGGTCCTTAATCATTTTTAAGTGTATAAGAAGGGGTTTGGTGGTGGGTTGTGACCAAAAAGTTTGAGAATCACTGCTTTACAGGATTTTTATGAGAGGTAGATGTAATAGAGAGAGTTCCCAGTACCCTGCCTGATAATAGTAAATACTTAATAAATAATGATTATATTTTTTGTCTTGTTATTTATTTATTTTTTTCCTTTTTGTCTTTT